AGGTTCGGAACACTATTAAAAATGATGGTGGGATATACCCCACCTATTAAATTTAATATAAACTTGAGAATCAAATATAGAATCGAAAAGAATCGTTAGGATCCTTAAGTATATAACACAATAGTTAGTATTCCACAGGTTAAATCACAAGATACTAGTTCAACTCCAGGTAAAGGCAGTTAAATAGAATTAATATAGTATCTGGTACCATAACATGAAATATGTTGTTTCTCATAGAAAGCTGATTCATACACTGATCCAGTGGACATTGAGATTGTGATTTCTAAAGAAGACAACTTGACATAAAGATTGTCTGGTTGGTGCATAATGATTGTCAGAAAAACAAGGAGCACTAAATATTTAGATGTATAGACAAGGCTGTATACTATTCTAACCAATCCTATATGACATTCGACCTATAGTAGTTGGAATCCTAGTCTAAATTATCCCAATCTGGTGCAGAGCTTAAAAGGGTAATACTTGCTGCAGGTAGTAAGAATAGTTATGGCTTGTATAAGCCCAGAATTGATACAAGTTATGATTCAAGGTTTAGATGATAAGATAAAAGAAAGCATTTGGATCAACTCTCTTAAGTATTACCTTTATTATAAGCTGGATCTAGAATAGGTTAGGTAGTTTAAAACTAGTAGTAGGATTTTTACCTCCTATAGATCTGCCCCTTAGAATCACTAAAGATAAATTATTAAGTAATAGAACTAAAGTTCTGAGAAGAAAGTGCAAATGCAAAGATAATCTGCAAGTTAATTTGTATGAGTTCTCAAATGTAATTCAGATATATCATATATATCAATAAAAGTCATGTGTTGTTGCACTTGACCATTTTATAAAAAATTTTTATATATGTTTATAATTATTTAAATATATTATAAATATAATGATATATTTTTTATTATTAATATAATATATTTTTAATTACTTGAATAAGTATTATTTATTCCTGTAAGACATAATATATTATAAATTATTTTATAAATTAAAACTTAATACAAAAACAAATTTTTAAAAATTGTATTAAAGTATATAATTTTATTTGTTACCTTAAAATTGATAAAACGTTTCTTAATATTTTTAATATAATTTTGTTTATAATTAATATATAGAATAGTATTATTTAATAAATTATTTTTAATTATTGATAAAAAATAAAAATTTTATCAAAATCATAAAATAAAATAAATCTGAAATTAAAAAAGTATATTATTGTTATATTATATAAAAAGTAATCAATTAACTTGAGTTACAATTTTTATAACTAACAAAGAATTTATAATTTTAGATAATAACATATCTATTGAAGTATTAATTGATAAAAATATATTTAAATTATATAAAATATATTTAAGAAAAAAATGCAAAGAAAAAAATCAATTAATTTATATAATTTCCATAGATATAATTTTATAATTTTTAAATAATTTAATAAATTTTTGAAGTAAATTAAATTATTATAGATTTAAAAATATTAATAATTATATTTATTTAAAAATCAAATATATTTATATAATAATATTAATAAAAAACAAATACTTTTTATTAATTTTTAAATATGTAATAGTAAATTTAAATTTATTTTAATTATAATATAAAAATATTAAATAAAAACTTATATTATTATTGGTATTTATTCCATTTTTTATAAAATTTTATAAAACTTTAATTTTAAAATATATTTTTAATAATTTTTTTGATTGTGCTATTTATTTTATTATTTGATTTGCTTATTAATTTTTTTATTTGTTACATTTTACATTTTATTTTTTTATTTGTTACTTTTTTTATTTTTTTGCTTATCACCTTTTTTATTTAAAAATTACTATTTTGTTTATTGTATTTTTTTTCTTAATATACCTATTTATTTTTTTTTATTTCTATTCTTATATTTTTTTAAAATGAAAAAAAATTCATTGGTTAATAATAATAATATTATAAAAAAATTTTTTTAATAGAAAAATAATTAATGAAAAAGAAATTTTATATTTAATTTAATAAATTTATATTTTAGTATATAAAATAACTTGGTGTTTTCAATAGTTTGAACCAATGCACTATTTTTTATATACTGTTATGTTATTTAAAATTATTCAAATTATTCAAATTTACAATTTAATACATTTAAATATACTGTATTTTAATATATTTATTTTAATAAATAAAATAATTTAATGTCTTTAATTCTGGAGCATAGCCCAAACTATATGTAGTGAATATAAATTGTAAATATATTTTGTGAAACATTTTTTATAATGAAAATTTGTATTACTCTTATAAAGACTTTGATTATTTTTTTATAGGATAATGATAAATACTAATTTCGTTTAAACAAAAATTATCGAAAATTTTTGTTTAAAAAATTTAATTATTTTGGAGCCAAAAACATTTTTATCCGAAATTTTTTTATTAATTCGATATTTTTTTGTAACAAGAATTTTTTAAAAAATCAAAAGAATGCTGATAATATAAAAAATACAGTACTGTAATTAAATTTGAAATAATAATACATTCAAATTCATATGAACAAAGAAATATAATAAAACAATTGATTTTGATAATGTTAAAAAATATTTTTGATAACAAATTCGTAATTCAGAATAGCGTTGGTTTAATAAGGTTTTGTTTTTTAAAATAAGTAAAAATAAAATTTTTAAAATTTTTTTTAAATATGTACGCTTATATTAATTTTTGGTATGAAAATCTAATTATTTTGCGCATAATAAAAAATGGTTTCATTTTAAATCCTCTTTATTATTAATATTTTTGGGAAACTCTTTAAAATAATATCATACACGACATTTGGCAACATGGAAAGTCATAAGAAAAATATATGCAAACTAATAACTAACAATTAATTAAACAAATCATTAAACAAATCATTAAACAAATCATTTACAGTAATTAGAAATAACATAATCGGCAGAATAAGTCGTGTTACAATCGGAGAAATGACTTTATTTTATTTAATTGAGATAACGCGAAATAGACTCAATGCAAGATTTAATGATGCATTTCTTTATGGAGGTCTTTGTGTGTGTTTCAAAAATAAATTGGTAAAATAAAACCGTACGTTGATGTCATAGGTTTCGTATCTGTATGAACAGAACATTTTGGAAATTGACTAACGTTCTTATAATTGTAGATCTCGACACTAAATTCTTTTTTGGGTTCGCTCTTTACCTCCCGATGTCCATTGTATTTATTTATGACTTAGTCGTCATATTGTTTCCGATTATTTTTCTTTACACATTTCTATGTGGTAATTATACTTCCATTCTGTTTTTACGGTTATCTTATTTAAGCATGGTAAAAATAATTTTTGTGTTCCTACAAAGCAATCTTGTTCATTTCAGCCGTTTATGTTTTATATCCTTGTTTACAAACTTGGCAAGTAATTATCCATGTTATAATTACGAATATGCATATTGAGTACTGCACGAGAACTGGATAGCACACGATCCAACAAATAAAGTTTAATCAAACGACAAAGATTATATTTAAGGATTGTACGAATTCAAAATTACTTTGGAAACTGTAGAACCAATAAATAGCAAAACCAGAACGAAGTTATAACCAACTAAATAAATTTAGATGTCAGAATACCGATGTACGCTTACAATTGACAGAAGAACTTATGAATGCAGAAATCGTTTTAGAAACAGCTATCAGGCTGTTTGATGTACAGATTTACATGGAAATGTAATGCTCGTTTTTATAAATGAAAGCAAATTTGAACATCAGAATAGCGTCAAATACATATAGACCGAGAACTTTTAGAGTAATATTTACGCTAAGCACATGTGTCAATTTTATGAGCATAACAAAAACCTTGTTCTATATGATATTGTCCCTTGGTGTAAAAGGAGTTGATCATATTTCCTTAAAGACGCGTATATTGAGAACCAAGTTTCAGAATGTTATTTAAACGCACTCACTCTTACGACAAAACCTCAAATCATAATTTTTTAAAAATAAATTTAAGTCCTTCCTCTTGATTATAAAACACATACCAGCTTTGCTAAAATGAGCAGAAAATATGGAATGAATGCGGAGGAAATAACCGCCGAGCGACGCCAGAACTTTGAGCTGCTAGAGATTCTTACGAACGAAAATCAGAGTCTTCAGAAAAGTGCAACAGCACGACTATCGATAAGTGCGGTGATATCGCTACTTTCTATCGTCATTGGAACTATCTTTCTCATTTTGAAACCTTCCGAGATTTCGAATACCATATTGAACTCTGTGGCAGAAATTATATGCGGAAGTTTTCTTCTTTTGGGCATACAAAGTCTTGCCTCCGGTTTGAGATCAAAGAATGTCGATACAAAAATTCAATCAAACTCAAAAATTAGCGATGAGGTTATTCAACTCTCTTTGGAAAATCTACAAGATAAGAGCAGCATCGAGAGTGTTGTGAAAATCATGAAAGAACGGAACAAAAATTTCAAAACATGGGGCATTTGGTGGTCTTCTTGGATCATCGTGTTTGCCATTATTCTCATTTGCATTATCTTTTTTAATATTTTTGTTAACTATGTTGCACAAGACGAGAGATCGATCAGAATTTCCGTGGAATTAATTCTCCTTAGTAGTGGAATTTCTTGTTTTATTCTCAGCATAATCACTTACTTGGTTTTATGGGTGCCAAGCATTTTAGGCGATTTTTTTTCTTCTATATTCTTCCTACCATTTTCTTTTATACTTTTCATACAATTATTTATGGTGAGAATCATACGCTTCAACTGTGAAACCAGTTGTGATGACATCACCGTTCCTTTATATGAGGTTTATACCGAGATTTTGGAGGAAGATATTGAGGTTCCATTGTGCGGAAGTGAGAGCGCGTTTACCATTGTACGCATTGTTTTGGAAAAGAGAGAGAAATTGAATATCAAACGTATTTTACATGGTTTAAAACCAAAGAACATTAGAGACCCCGAAGTTCAATCCGATTTTTTTAATTCCGACATCTTGTAGATTATCTCGCAAAAAATGTAAATTAAATTTATTTGCAGACTCGTTTATATTGTAAAGTTTCTTGCTAAAGTGGTGACGCAATGTAGTTTGTAGAGATCCTTTGTATTTTGCACGATCCACCAGTTTTAAAATAACCAATTAGAAGTCGTATGCTGAGTAATTAAAATTTTCAAAACTAATAACAATACTGTATGTAATTTCGTTTAATTTTCTTAACAAAATTTTAAAATACATAAAATAAATATCCATTTTTTATTTTAAACAAAAACGTTATTTAAACAGAATGCCATCTCGCTTATATAATTACGGTAATTGTGAATTCTATGTTTTTTTTTATAAAAATGTAAATTAAAAAATTATATAATTATCATTGCTATTATTTATCATCGTTGTTATTTTTATTTGAAATAAATTTTTTATTAAAAAATAAGATTTAGTGTGTTGTATGATTAATTAACCAAAAACATGAAAAATCATTACAGCTATTTTGTAAAGTTCTGAAGTTGGTTCGAAAATTTTTCATGGTGCATAATTTAGATCACGTTCTTCGAGGGCGGATATCTCTAATTATGCAATACGGGTAACCAGCTATGAAAGGCCGGTAGATTTTCTGATCGTCGAAACATCGATTGATACCAAAATGGGTTGGGATCATTTTGATTGATACCAGAATCGGCTACGATATTTAAATATTGATTGGGACTTGATGCGTAAAGAAAACAAGAAAATGACTTTAACAAATAGCGAGGATGACTCTAAAAAATGGCTCCAGCAAGCTATCGATGAAAAGCATATAAAATATCATGAATATAGCAAATTTGAATCGATAGAATCAATTGCGGAGGGCAGTTATGGCAACGTTTTTAAATCATACTCAAAGAATATGAGAAAAACAGTGGTCCTAAAAAACTTGAAAGAGTATAATTATGTATCGTTCGTGCGTGAGGTAATAATAACTTATGTGCATATTAATGTTTGTTGATTTGTCCTAAATTTATGCACAGCAAACTAACTTTCCTTATATCATTTGGGTTAAAGTTAAAAAATAACCAATCTATCGAAAGCGATAATGTTATAAGATGTCTTGGAGTTAGTCGGGGTGACTACATATTTTTGGAATATTGAATTTGGCATGTTAAAATATTTTACATTAATATGGTTTCTATTCTTAGATCCAAATTCAGTGAATGGATATTTGTTTATATTTCAATACGCTAATGGAGGGACTCTTCGAAATTATTTGCGCGGTTTACATGAAGAAGGGCGCTTCTTCGAACTTGAGTGGTCAAGAAAAATCAAAATGGCCAAAGATATTGCCAGTGGATTAAGCTGCGTGCACTCGGAGGGTGTTGTTCATCGAGATTTGGCAAGTTATTTGTTCGAAAATTACTTCGTGGCTTAGCTAGAAGCCTATGCTAAATTTATGAATCAAACTCCAGGGTTCTGAAAACATCTTGATTCACGACGGCAGATTAATGATTGCGGATTTGGGGATTTCCAAGCTCCCTAGCTTAATAAAATCTGATTCTGGGAGAACGCCGGATTCTTATTGTGACCCTCGATTTATGGAAAATCACATTTCTTACAAACGCGACAAACCCTCTGATATCTATAGTTTGGGGTTTCTCTTTTGGGAAATATCAAGTGGTATAGTTCCTCGTGTCTCTTGGTTGGACACCCTTCATGGTGAAAGAGAAACACCAGTCGATGGAACTCCGATGGATTACGTCAATATTTACTCTAGTGCATGGAATGGGGATCCAAATAAACGTCCTACAATTGAAACCATTCTATATGATCTCGAAAATATTAAATTGCAACCCGTATATCAAGCAAAAGTTGATACAGCTGAAACTTCCGAGGATTTAAATCATTCGACGAATAATAATTCTGTTGAAACGTCTATCAGCTTAGGTAAAGGAATATCATTTACGCACGCAAAAACTATTAATGCATTTCTTAATTCGTATAATATGTATATTTTAATTTTTACAAATTTTAAATCCAGATGAACATCCTTATGAACGTGACTCTTTCGGTAAATCAAACAAAAATAATAGTTTGTTTATGACGAAGTATTAATTTTTTGTTCATGTATTATAGTTGAAAGTTCACAAGAAACCGCCATTTCCGAACTAGGCAACGAGTGCGGTACGTAATATTCGTATACAAGAACGTAATCGTCATTTGAAATTTTGCCTATGTTTACATAAAAAACCATTTTAGATGGAGAACAACAAGAGGAGTTTATCTCAAACGATTCGACATCAATATCCACTCTTCAAGTTCTACGAGATAAGGTCCAGATGTATTTTATAGCAGAAAAGTACACAAAAGTTTTAGAACTTTGGAAAATAATTGTTCAGCATCCTCAGCATACATCGGAGGATGAAAGGAACGCCTCAAATTGGATGTTCCAAGGAAAACAATTAAGTAAATCAGCTGGAATTTCTCTAGCCAAGGCTCTATATAATAATCACATCACAACCAATTTAGATGTGAGTAATATTAAAATAGGGGTTCCTGTGGGTAAAGCATTGGCTAGGGCTCTACACTGCAATAACACCTTGACTCAATTGAACATGCGCTGTAATTATATGGGTGACTCTGCAGGAACTGCACTAGCCGAGGCTCTCTGCATAAATACATCTCTCGTCAATTTAAATCTAAGGTATACCAGACTGGGGGACCAGACTGGGAATACGTTAGCTAGAGCTCTAATTGAGAATAATACTCTCACCAGTTTAGACATTAGCTATAATTACATGACCGACTTTTCGGGAAGAAATTTGAGCGAATCCCTATTCATAAATAATACCTTGACGGAATTAAAGTTTTCCGAAAATAGACTGAGCGAATTAACGGTTAGAAAACTAGCCGAGGTTCTATACACAAATAGAACCTTGACCAATTTAGATCTATACAAAAATGAATTTGGTGACTTGGCGGGAGAAGCGCTGGCAGAAGCCCTATGCGAAAATGAAACCCTGATCGAATTAAATATAGGCAGAACCAATATGGGGGATTTGGCTGGAAAAGCACTGGCCAATGCTTTGTGCAAGAATGGTGCTTTAAAATATTTGAATATCTCGGAAAATAAAATAGGATATTCTGCTATAAAAGCGTTGGCTGAGGCCTTGTATCAGAATACAGTACTGAAAACGTTAGATATGCACGAATGTGAGCTGAGCGAATTAGGAGGAAAGGCACTGGCCAGTGCTCTAACAAAAAATGCAACCCTGACCCATTTAAATTTAAGCAAAAATGAATTGGGAGAGTCTGGAGGTGGGGCACTGGCTGAAGCTTTATACAATAATAACGCCCTAACCGAGTTAATTTTAAGCGACAACAATTTGGAAGAATTATTTGCAATGATACTGGCCGAGGCTCTATGCAAAAATAAAACCTTAAAGAAATTGGACCTGTCTAAAAATAAACTAGGGGATTCGGGAGGAAAAGCACTGGCCGAGTCACTGGTCAGAAATACCGGCCTAACCACATTAGTTATGCCGTCAAATAATATAGGCGATTCGGCAGGAGTAGCATTTGCTGAGTCGTTGTTGCAAAATACCACCTTGACTCATTTTGACCTAGGCCATAGTCAGATGGGTGATATAGCAGGAAGAGCATTTGTTGAAGTTCTACCCAAAAACAACACCCTTTCTACTTTAACCCTTTATGTTAATCAAATAGGTAAGTTTGAATGGTCGAAGTACTGCATAAGAATATATCTAACATATTTTTTTTAAATTCAATAAATTAGGAAGAGATGTTAAGCTTAAAGTCAGGAACTCATCAAATTATGTTCAAATTTAAATGGTTACTTGTACGAAGAATAACATTACATTTAGCAAATGAGATTTTACAACCTTTGTTCACTCAATTTGAGTGCTTTATGAAAATATTATTTTTATTTTTATTATGTTTACCATTCTTGCCTGGGTGATTGGCCAACACAGTAACTTTAACACGAATTGCATGTAAATATTAGTGTTTTGCGCGCTCTACAGCCTTATATATTATGTACAAAGTAAACGAGAACGCCATTTATATGTGGCTGGAATTAAATTATTTTGTTGTAACGTTTTGATCTTGCTACATGTGGAATTGAAATTATAGTGAAATCTAGCGTTGATAATTAAAAATCACGAATTAATAAAAAATCTGTAGTCGAATATTATATTAGGATTCTTTGGAAGTTTTTGATAATTGATGTCGGCAGAAAAGTGTAATTTTTATAAATTGATTGTTTCTTTTTACTTTTATCACTAACGAGTGTTATCACACAAATATGATTATTCAAGATACTGCATACGACTGGCATATAAAATATTTTGATTTATAAATTAATAATTTTTTTTTCGAATATTTCTAAAGATGACATCTAATGACTTGCTGCAATTCTATGTTTATTTATATAGTTCTAAAATAATTGATCAATTTGAAATGGTTTCTTATACAATAATGTAAATTTGGCATTGCAGTTTTTTGTTCTTGAAATTATTAAAATACAGTGTATAAAATAAATTTCACGCTATTTTTTTAAAATTTAAGTTAGGCAATAATTAATTTTGTTATATGCAATGTACGTATAACACACATAGTGTATCAATTTTTATTACCGTATATCGGAGAGTTTGTCGCTTGCTCAAGTGGCATGACACAATGAGATGTAATAATTTTGTCAAACAAATTATTATCTTACAATAAAATATATTTTTTAAAATATTTATAAAAATAATAATGCAATAACTAGATATATTGTTTTTTTTATAAAAGATTAGGTAATTCAAAAAAGATTTTAAAATATATATAAAAATAATGATGCAATAACTAGATATACTATTTTTTTTATAAAAGACTAGACCATTCAAAAAAAGATTTAAAAAACCAATTTATTTCCAATTTCTAACTTTATAGAGTTATAGGTTTTTATGTTATTTTTAATTTAAATAATTTAATTTGATATTTTGATTTGACAAAAAATAATGTCGAAAAAA